GATGCCTCTTGTTGGTAAACAGTTCCCCAGCTTGGGCCTCACACCGTACTTTTGTAACTTGCTAATACACTTATCCTGTATTATGTATTTGTGATTATCTGCACATTAGACTGTAAAGTCCATGAGAGCTGGGACCCTATCTTTCTTAATCTTTCCTTTTCCCTCTGTACCCAACCGGGTAGGTGCTTAATAAATATCGATGGAACTGAATAATTTGGAGGTGGAGAGAAAAATAGGCAGATTATATATTATGCATATATATACAAGCATATATATGCACATATACATACATACATACATACATACATACATACATACTCACATATATCTCCGTTGCTCTTGGCAGATCTATGATGCTCCACTGTGTGATTGGCTCCTTACCAGATGATCGTAAATCCTCTCTCCCACTTTCCTTATTTATCTTTACAACAAACACATAAGCATGTGATTTTATCATCAAAACCACTGTGGGGTGAGAAAAATAGGGGATGCATATTGTGATAGGTGGGTAACTGGTGAACTTCTTGTCAAAGGTGGGAAGAAAAATTTGTAAGTATGATTAAAACAGGAATGATCTGAAAAGATAAATGTATGAAAATGACCAAGTCAAAAATAGCTAAGAGCTTGAGCTTTTGTTGGAGATAAAGAAAAGACTCATTTAGCAGCTAATGATAGTAACAGTAATAATAAATAACAATAATTATGACAAGGCAGTTAGATGGCAACATGGATAGAGTGAGGGGCCTGGAGTTAGGAAAACCTGATTTCAAATCTAACCTGACACATACTAACTGTGTGACCCTAGGCAAGTCATTAATCTCTGTCTCTCAGTTTCCTCATCTGTAAAAATGGGTATAAAGTTAGTGTCTACCTCCCAGGGTTATTGTGAGGATCGAGTGAGGTAATGTTTGTCAAGCACTTAGCACAGTGCCTGATATATGTAAGGCAAGGGAAGAGAATGCAGTATTTATTAAGAGCCTACTATATACCAGAGTGCTTTATAGATATCATCTCACGGTGCTAAGTGCTTTACATTTGATACACAAAAGTGACATAGTTGTCCCCTTCCACATCGTGACTTTACCCATAAAGGTTTGATATATTGCTGCATAAGAAATTAAATGGGAATTTTGGGGGAGTTTTGCAGAAGCTGCAGACAATATGTGAAGGCCAGAAGGTGACGCAGAAAAATACTTAATCCAAATTTTACAATAAGGTACTGTAAACACCCCATACAAAGGGAGGACCAAAAAACTTTACACAGATTTTCCAGATTGTTAGGGGTGCCATGCCCTTACGCCCACCCACAATGTGGAAAGGATAACTGGATTCCACATTTGATCCTTATATAGCTAGCTATTATTATTATTATTATCTGATATTTGCACTTTACACACATTATCTCATGAGAACCTCATAACAACCTCTGAAATAGCAACTATAGGTACTATCACCCCCATTTCACAAATGCAGAGACTGAAGGTCAGAGAAATTAAATGATTTCCTTGATTCACACTCAGGTCTTCCTGACTCTATCCACTCTGCCAAGTTGTGGGCCTTCAAATTTCAAAAATGTCTTCCAAGATCTATTGTGAAGGAAAGACAGTAATGATTAGTAATAGCATCATGGCAGTATTTTCCTACCAAATGCCTGCCCCTTCCCTTAATGGTGCCAACAAATATGTATTGACTATATGGCAATATATTTACTGACGTATATGTAAAAGAGTTGTGACCTTTTGACATATTAGTATTAGCTCATTGGTTTATCTATAAAAAAGAATTCAGAGTGTTTTCAATGTGAAAATGGAAGGACTCATAGCTACATCGGTGTTGGAAAATGAGGACTAATCACATCTAACAGAAAGAAGCAGCAAAGAAAACAATGCAGAATTTCATAGTTAGCAAAGTGAAGGCTCATGTAGAACAGAGATATATTTATATTATATATATTTAAAATATATACCTGCATCGGTGAACTTGTGTCTTTAAAAACATATATTTTGATAACTATTCAGTATAATTGGTCTCTTTTATAATCCTATGTCTTATTTAATGCATTTAAAAACATTATTTTACCAGATAGCCAAAAGGGTCCATGACACAAAAAAGATGAAGAATCCCTGAACTTGAGTTGTAAAATACCAAAAATTAGGAAGGAGTTTATCTTTGCCAGCCTTCTGCTATCTACAGAGTAAATTCTTTCCAATCGAGTCCACCCTATTCCTGTGAAGCTGTCAAGATTTTACAATCCCAGGTCAATTGTTTTCCATATTAAATTTATATGACTTTTATAATTCTTTTGACGTAATTCTTGAAATGCAAACCCAGTCTCAGTTTTGGAATCTTCTAGTCATTCTTTCCTGAGTCACTATGATGAATAAGAGTCATTATTTTTCTCTAACACTTCTATCATTTTTCTAAAATAAAGCTATACCCTCATCCACGCATATCTTCAGCTTGCTTAGCATGAGAAAATCAGTGGCTGCTCTTAGGGGATTTCAGTCTCACACCCTCTTAATATAAAAATCTTTTCTGAAGGAACAAGTAAAAATAAATCTATTTTGCATGCTATAAACATAATATTCCTTTTGATAAACATGAAAACCAAGTTTAAAAAAAGTCCATGCTGGGGATGTTCTTAGTAGTATACAGTGATCTTTAAATATTTTTTGCTTCTTCACCATTACTCTTCCCCAATTCAAACTTTCTAGTGTTTAGACAGGGGTGGGGAACGTGCAGCCTCAAGGCCACATATAGCCTTCTAGGTCCTTAGGTGCGGTCCTCTGACTGAATCCAAACTTCAGAACACAGCATCCAAACACAGCACATCTGTGAAGTAAGGATTCAGTCAAAGGGCAGCACTTGAGGATCTAGAGGGCCACATGTGGCCTCCAGGCGGAAAATTCCCCACCTCTGACTGAACCCTCGAATTCATCCAGGTGGCTTTGGAGCCTAATCCAGATTTCCAAGCTGTCTTGGGTCTCAGAGCAGTTTAACCTGATGAGGAATGTTATTGTTGGATGGCGAATATCCAGATACAACTTACCAGGTTAATAGCATTATGTCAGTGAAGGGAATGCTATTTTTTTCCAGAATTTTTTTTATTGCACTCTTAATGGAAATATATTAAAATGAAGAATGAAAATAACATTTGTAAGAATGGCAAGTGTGAGGAATGATGGAGTCCTTGCACTAAGAGGCAAGTTACCGTAATGTCTATCAAAGAGATCTTAGGCAGAGCTCTGGTTGCAGCTATTAAACTTTGTCTTTGTCTTTAAAACATGTTTTTTAAGCAAGAGATTGTGGAGTTTTGTTCTTAACCAATCTGTTACTCTTCTTCATTTTAGTGGATTAATTCATTCATGTTTAAAAGTATAGGAATTAGGTTCCTATTTTCCTCCATCTACCTCTTACCCCCCCCCCCCTTCTTTGTAGCTATTACATTTTGGCCGGCTAAGAACAATTCTTGCCAACTTTATTCTAAAACTTCAAGCTGCCATATACTAGCAGGATAAGTCAGAAAAAGTTTCTGAGATCACTGGGTCTTCTATATCTCAGTCTCAACAATGATGGATTATCAAGAGACAAGGCTCAACTACTTTAAATGTCAGTGGAAGACCAATTTATGCTTCAAACTCTAGTTTTAATAATCATAAAACTGCATCACACTATTTGTTGTATTGATCTGACCTACCTTTTGTATAACTGCAACACAATTTTGTGTAGATTTTGCTCATTTTTCAGGCTAACGCTTTAAGAAAGAGGCTAGATGGTTTAGATATAGATGCACGTAAGAGAATTTTAAAAGTTCTTTTCCTTTATCAAGTTATTTCAAGTTTAGTTTGGCAGTACTTTATTTTTTCCCCAAATAAGTCTTCAATAAGTGATAAATTTTTAAAAGTCTTAAATCTTGTCAATCAACAAGTTTGCTTAGGGAGTGACATAGACACTGACTTGATTACCCAGTGGTATGAAACGTCTATACTTCGAGTCACTCTTAATAAGACCTCACTACCATGGGAGCTCAGTTTTTCCCTCATTTGAAGCTGTGACAAGAATATGACTACATCACATTGTGAAGACAGCAGACGAATGAAGATGACCAAAAATGCCTTTTATTTAGCCAGTTTTTACTCAAATGTGAGCTTCTGAAATAGCTTGTTAAATCTGACCTTTTTATAAATCCAATACTCTGAAAATATTTACAGTGAGACTATGCACAAGCCTGTTTCACCTCTGTGATTTCTGATCTACTTACACACTGATAATTCCTATCTTCAGAACAGAATGAAGTTCCAGACACTCATTTTGCTGTGTCTCAGAGGCTGATTTCCTGTTTCAGCTGGTGCTAAGCTGGATACAGGAGGCCTGATTCTAGTGCACAGGAAATTGAAAAATCTATCTTTGCCCAAAGAATGATAATAAGGTCTTTCTAATTAATTGGAAACAGGGGTCCTCTAATGCCATGAAACAGCAGGAAGCAGTCAAATGGGCTTCCACAAAACTTGCTTTGCCTTCACATGTTTTAGCGTTTACTTATCCCTGATATTAAAGAAGCAAAACGTGAGCATCAGAATTCTGAGCAGGCTCGGAAGGGCCAGAAAGAGAACCCGGCCTTCACTGATGGGAGAAAGGAAGGGTGTGAGCTGTCAGTTTCACTGATCAGCATCTGGACGTTCCTACAACAGCACTTACAAGAGTTACTGCAGCACAAGGTCCCCCCGAGTAAGGGTTGGCATTGACAACTGGATGCGGCACAAGCAAAAACCCTTTCCTGGCTAGTGACTGACAAGTCTTGCCTGCGTAGGCTTCAGTGTGATGTTTCCAAAGGCCGAGGGTCCTCAAGAACTAACAAGTTCATTGCTCCCTTTACCATCCAGAGAAATCGTGATTGGTGGAAAGGAGGCAAAGAACACACAATCCAACAACAAAAATGCACAAGTTCTTAGGGAGACGAAGCAACACGTGTTTTAGAAATGAAATCAGGCCAAACAATGCAGAGTAGTAACCATGCCTTTAATAGCTTGTAAATAGAACTTTAAAATTCAAGAGTGCTAAGATATACATCATTTTTATACAACTGACATCTGAAAATAAACCATGACCTGTTAAGGTCCATGCCTTTTCTAAAGAGCATAAATTAAATCCTTAATTACCCTAATATGCAACAGTATATTGGACCACAGAATCTCACAGGTTTTCTAGCCTTTTGCTAAAGAATTTGCTGTAGAGTGATAGAGTAACGGCTTCCTGTTGTACTACGGAAAGACGCCTATAGCCACCTGCCAGATATCTTTTCATATCTTTTATTTCCCCCCTTTTTCTACCTCTACATTTCCCTATGAAAATGAGTGACCAAAACACCCGTGCAACCTCTGGACCCAAGCCTTTGCAGCAGGTGTCACCTAGCAATGCCTCCTGCTTCTGCGGCCCAGGAGAACAGCAGCCACCAAACATGGCACACAAAAAACACGTACCCAGCCTAAGTCAATGTGATAGAGCAGCACGGATCCCTCTTTTGACTCTCCATTCCAAACTGCTCGGAGCACCAGATTTTAGGCTCCCCTGGCGGTGCCTCTGGAACACGGAAGGCCGCCTTTCTCTGTGGGTGGTCCCATTACACTCCCCAGTAGAGGCTGGGATGCTCTGGCAATCATAGACTAGAGCCTGCAGCAGCTCAACCTTGTGCTGGAGCTTCCAAGAGAGTCCTGCACATAGCTCAAGTCTCAACTAAGGCAAAAGAATATTAATTTCCCTAAAAGGTTAGGAGCTACTTATTTAGAATCAACCAAAGGACATCAGGAAAGAAACAACGTATGAATAACGAAAAGACTTGAACTGATCGTCTTTCTGAATTTACCCTCTAGGGACTTAAGAAATTCTTTTGACCTGAGCAAACACGGCTAAAGAGCTTACTTAGGCTCTTTCACAGTGTCCGTGTACCCACGGCACTCGATCGGTCAGGACTACAAGTGCAAAGAAAAAGACGATTGCAGTCATCCAAGCTCAAGTCGGCTGGTAGGAAAGGCAAGAACAAGTTGATGCAAATACGTGGATAAAAACTGGTCAGTTTCTAAATGCAGAGGTTTGCTAATTAGACATAAATAATCACAGACGTGATTAAAATAATATATTATTCTAGTTTTTTTAAACTTTCCCATTTTAAAAGTTTTATATTCCATTTATCTGAACAGTGAATTAAAATAGGCACCTGTGCATGCCTTCCCAAGCACTATTTTTTTTTAAATGACACATATAAATTGAACAAACAGGATTAATGCCTATGGCAGAAAATTAGGTAAAATCTTCAAGGGGCTGTTTTTTTCAAGTCTCGGATTTGTTTAATCAAATAATTTTTCTCGTCGGTGAATTGTTCATCATCCGTTCTTTCTTTTTGGAAGGTGCTCAGAAACTCAATTAACTTTGGTTGGTTTTTTAGCAGAATCTCCACAATTGGCTGGGTTTTGTGAGGGCTAGCCACGAATACCTAAAGGACACAGAAACACAGAGGTCAGAAAGTTAGAATCTGGTAGCCCGCCAAGGTCATTTACTAAGGAAAGATTCAAACTGCCGGGCCTCATTTGTATACCTGCTCCCCAGGAAAGCTTCTGGCTCTTCTTTCACATAGATGGAAATCCAAAACTCAATTTTAATATCCTATTTCTCAGATAACAACAGCTGGGATCTACTAAAAAAAAAAGCACCAGACCAACAAGGCAAAAGCCATAGACTCTTGGCAAGAGAACAGTGAAGGATGCAGTACATTTTGTGGGGGCCACAATTTATGTTTATGTCCTAAATAAAATAAGACCCAGAAGACTGATGATGTTTTATGGCAGTGCAGAGTACTTGAGTACTTCAAGAATGTGGTGTTTTGCTGCTGTGGGTGCTCACTCCATGGATGCAGTTCAAATAGCATTTGATAGGGGCCATAGACAAAAAGTCATCACTCTCCAGCTGACCTGGTGCTGATCCTCTCTAGACAGGCAGGCTGGTCCGTAGACACTATCCATATGGTTCATCAACAGACAAGATTACATAAATACATAAGTCCATGATATAGTGGATAATACTTCACAATACCATAATCTTGGTCCTCATTTATTCAGACATCTGTGGCCAAGGAGAAGCCAGTGAGACAGAAAAAACCAACATCCTTAAGCAGAGAAAGGGTATTTGGGGAATTAAGGCTGATGGAGTTGTAGCGTATAGCACATAGATACTGTACACCTTAGGTGTCAAATATGCAGCCTACAGCACAGCTGAGTGTAGCCTGAACCAGATTAAAATGTAACTGGGAAATAGTTAACAAAATAAATAAAAATATAATAAAGCACAGATAACATTATATATATATAAACATATATACACACACATAACACACACACACACACACACACACACACACACACACACTTTTTTGGTAACATTACATTTTAAAACTAAGTCAATATGTGGTCCCCAGGGATCCTTATGTACCATTAGTGGTCCCTGTTTCTATTTGAATTTGACGTCACTGCTATATACCAAATATCTTTTAAAAAGATGTTAAAAACTAGTAGATAGGATTTCAGATGAAAAAATGGATGTCAAAGGTCTTTGGAAACTGAATACTCTAACAAATGTAAGGTGGCACTATTACTATTACTGAGACAGATAAAAATTTGAAATATATAAGCTTTGAGAAAAATATGTGAAAAGTGGTAAGATTTATATAGATAGAATCAAGGTCTAAGAGTTAGATGTCTGTGTATTTTAGTTCCCAGCTGCAACATATAAAAAGCAAAGTCATGGCTAAAAGATGGAGAGGGAAGGGAAGAATGAGAATGAGAAAAGGGCCTAGAGAAGCAAGCATCGGGGAAAGCTGTACAATTCTTGCCATAGAAATATTTTATTTTATTTAATATCTTATAACAGTGCAATCTTACTTATCTGACCTCCACCTGGTACATCTCTAGTTTATTTTTCTGGGCAAAATTTTCACAAGGTCTTTCCAAGCCTCCAAAAGGATTTCTCTTTCGCAGAGAGATCTCGAAGGGAACATAGATCCGTAGTCACTCTGAAACTATATACACGCTGGTGATGTCCCAGCACACCATAACATATAGAAAAACAGCCCTTCTCCCAAGAAGGGGATGTTTAAGACATCTTTCTAGATTATCTGAATTGGGCCTGGTCCTGGTAATTTCCTGCTCAAGAAGGTAATTCTTTTGAAGTCATTCATTATTATTGGTGATTGTGTATAATTTTTTTTCCTAAGGTCATACTGTTAATCACAAAGTTAGAGACTAACACTCAGAAAAGTTTTTGTTTTATATTAATTAAATCATATTGCATTTCTTGTTATTATCAGAGCTCATTTATTTCATGTTTTTGTTATTTGCATCAATAATAGTAATACCACCTTATATTTATTTAGCACTCAGTTTCCAAAGTCCTCTTCATATCCATGGTTTCATCTGATCCTCATACCAACCCCTTAAGGTATATAGAGCAGCTATTCTTTTCATTTTTATGAAGGAAACTGAGGCTCACACTTGTCCAAGCTCCACAGGTATGCCTAGAAGGGGCAAGCTGGCACACTCTCTGTTTGGCACAGCCCAGACCTTCTGAAGTCTAGTTCAGCTCTCTTTCCACTAGACCACAAAGGTTCCATGGCACATCACCATCCTCTTCTTTCTCCTCCTCCTCATCTTCCTCATTGACATTTATGTCACCATAACAGCTCATATTTACATATTGTGCTTTTGATGTGCCAGGCACTGAGGTAAGTGCTTTACAATTACTATCTCATTTGGTTCTCACAGCAACCCTGAGAGGCTGAGGCTGTTACTGTCCTCATCTCACAGATGAGGAAACTAAGACACTCAGTCATTCATTCATCCTTCACTGAAGTCACTCTTGGTCTTTGAGTGACATCTCACCTTCGCTGCCTCTGTCAATTTAACATAGTTCTTACAAACACATCAGCCTGCACTGGTTTGGGTGAAATGAAATTTGAGGTCAGACAAGATGGTGCTGTGAAGAGATTTACACATTTCAATGATGTCTAGCTTGAGAGTACCACAGTCACTCAGTGGCTCACGAAATAGCCTCAATTTTTAAATTCTCAGAGAAACTACCTGAAACTTAAGCAGCATCTCCAAGGATGCCTGGAAATCCCATGCTGGTGCAAATGTAAATTACTAAACTAGTTACCACTGTTTACAATGGGGTTGCTGTGGAGTTTCAGCTAAATATTGGCTGGTATTTTGTGGCAACTGCATAAATAACTCATGGAACCAGTCCTTCTAATGGAAAAAAAAGAACAAGATCAAATAAAATTGGAAAATGTTCAGCTTCTACGTCCTAATCCAAAATAAATGTCAAACATGGTTGAATATACACACACACATTCCACTGGACCCACTCTGGAACATCAACACGCCCTACCATAAAGCTGAGGTAACTGCTAAGTTTGTCTTCATATTTTGAAACTTTTTTAAATGGTTCCTTATCCCTAGGATCTCCCTAAATATAGTGACTGACTAGAGGCAACTGATTCAGAGACATGCTTGAGGTAGCAATTACTCCAAATAGCCCTTCTTGCCATGTCAAATACCTGAAATGCCATATTTATTATTAGGGAGATATTTTTGATTCAAAGCATGTTGGACATCATGTGCAGGACAGAAAGTTACCTTGTTCAGTCATGAATGTTCCCATTTTTAAAAAATAATGCTATTTTCAAACTATCCCAATTTCATGAAACACACTTCTATTTTGTTATATTAATTTGAAAAGAAATGCATTTAAGTCTTACTGGTGTCACCAAGATCAACTCAATATAAAAGAGGTGCTTTATATAAAAGAACTCATTTGAATCCCTTAAATTGAAAGTTGTATTTGTCAGAAGAGTATAGCATGCCTCAAATGTAGCTGTGAATTGAGTCTGCTTCAGTTAAGTGGGGTTTGCGAAAAGCAAAATTCATTTCCCCTTTGTTATCTACCAGAGTAAAACTAGAAAAATCTGGTTTTCTTTCATTTTATTCCCCAGTTCATCATCTTTCCTCTTTCCCTCAAGACCTCTCTGAAACTTTAACAAAGAAATATGGAACAAAGAAAAACACTTCTGAAAGTTGTGAATACTTAACAGTAATTATTTCATAAAATCTGAGAAGAAGACATTGATGCTCACTGCCCCCATTACCTCGCCTCCCATTCTCTTCTCTATCACTTTCAGCTTGGCTTCTGAGCTCACTACATGGCTCAACCTGTTCTCTACAAGATTAATAATGACTTCTTAACTGCTAAATCCAGTGGTCTTCTCTCAGTTCTCATTCTACTTGAACTCTTGGTAGTTTTTCACCTCCTCCTGAACATTCTCTTTCCCCGCATCTGTTTCTGTGCTTGTCCACTAAGTGTGAGGATCCCCCAGAGCTCTGGCTTGGGCTTTCTTCTCTTTCTACAATCTCCCCTCAGTGATCTCATCAGTTACCACGGGTTAAATTATCACCTCTATGCAGATGACTCCCAGATCTACAACGCCAGTCCCAATCTCTCTCCCGAAATCCAGACCCATGTTCCCAAGTACTGTCTGGTTGCCTCTAACACATCCAAAAGTGGAACTCATTGTATTTCCCCCCCAAATCTATGTCTCATCTAAACTTCCCCATTTTTGCTGAGGGCTCCCCTATTCTTTTAGTTACCCAAGTCTGTAACTGAGGAGTCATCACTGACTCTTTTTTCCTTTACCCTATCAGTTGATATGTCCTGCCTATTGTACTTCTGTATCAGTCACATCTGTCCCCTTCTCCCCACTTGTACAGCCTCCACCAAAGTTCAAGCCCTCAACACCTTCTGCTAGCATTATTGGAGTAACCTCCTAACTGATCTCCCAGTTTTTCCCTTCCACAATACAGCTTGCATACAAGGGGGGAAGGCAGCAAGCATATTAAGTGCCTAGCATGTGCAAGGCACTGTGCTAAGCACTTTACAAATATGATCTCATTTGATCTGCCCCAATGATATCTCTAAAATATAGATCCGAGCCAAAATCATCAGGGATTTCCTATGGCTACTAGACCAATATCTAAATTCTCGGTCTTACCTTTAGGGGCATCCACAGTCTGGTTCCCCCCTACCTTCCCAGGCTTCTTTCATTTTACTGCCCTTACACACTCTCTCTTCTGGTCAAACCATCTCAAAAGCTGTTTTCCATATGCAATATCCTACTTCTCCCCTCCAGTCCTCCACTTGAGAGTGAGCTTCCTTCTTAACTTCACCCAGAGCAGTCAGCTCAGCTGCTATCCTCTATACAAGGGCTTTTCTGATGAAATTGTGCTCTTCTTATGAAATTATTTTTCATATAACTTTGTATATATTTTATGTTTATTCTCCTCCCCAGTAGAACATAGGCTACCTGAAGGGACTGTTTGTATTAGTATTCCCAACACCTAGCACAATGTCTTATACATATTAGGTAGTTAATAAATGCTTGTTGAATTG